TCCCCCATTTCATTTCTTATTTGGGTTATTTGTGTCCTCTCCTGTTTTTCTTTTGTCAGTCTGGTCAGTGGTTTGTTGATTTTGTTGATTCTTTCAAAGAACCAACTTTTGGTTTTGTTCATTCTTTCTATTGTTTTTCTATTCTCTATTTCATTTATTTCTGCTCTAATCTTTATTATTTCCTTTCTTCTAGTGGCTGTGGGCTTTTTTGCACTTCTCTATTTGTTTGAGTTTTGTAGTTAGTTTTATTTTGTCCCTTTCTTCTTTTTTGATGTGTGCCTCTATTGCTATAAATTGCCCTGTGAGGACTGCCTCTGCTGTGTCCTGAAGGTTTTGGTATGATGTGTTTTCATTCTTGTTTGAGTCTAGACATTTTTTGATTCCATCTCTGATTTCTTCTATTACCCAGTGGTTTGTAAGCAGGGTGTTATTCAATTTCCATGTAATTGATTTTTTTTCCCTTCCTCTTTCTTTTGTTAATTTCTACTTTGATGGCACTGTGGTCAGAGAAGATACTTTGTATTATCTCTCAACATTTTGGCTCTTGTTGAGGATTGCTCTGTGGCCTAAGATGTGGTCTATTCTGGAGAACGTCCCATGTGCATTGGAAAAGAATGTGTACTTTGCAGCTGTTGGGTGGAGTGTTCTATATATGTCTGTGAGATCTAGTTAGCTGATTGTGTCCTTTAGGTCTTCTGTATCTTTGTTGAGTTTCTTTCTAGATATTCTGTCCTTTACCGAGAGTGGTGCGTTGAAGTCTCCTACTATTATTGTGGAACTGTCAGTTTCTCTTTTCAGTGCTGCTAAGAGTTTGTTTTATATATTTTGGAGCCCTGTCATTTGTTGCGTAGATATTTATTATGGTTATGTCTTCATGATACATCGTCCCCCTAATAATTATATAGTGTCCTTCTTTGTCTTTTATGTTGGATTTTGTTTTAAAGTCTATTTTATCTGAGATTAGTATTGCCTCCTCTTTTTTGGTAACTGTTTGCTTGATATATTTTTTTCCATCATTTTATTTTTAATAGATTTACATCTTTGTTTCTAAGGTGTGTCTCTTGTAGACAGCATATTGATGGATCCTGTTTTTTTATCCATTCTGTCAGTCTCCGTCTCTTTATGGGCACACTGGGGCCATTTACAGTCAGTGTAATTATTGATAGGTGTGAGTTTATTGCTGTCATTTTGTAGTGCTTTTTTTTTTTGTGGTGCTGATGTTTTCTTTGTTCCTCTTACTCTCCTGTGCTGAATGACTTTTGTTTGTGGGGTTTTTTCCCATTTCTTTTGTTTTTGTAGGTTTTGTTTTTACTGAGACTTTGTTTTTCTTCTTTATTTTTATGAGTAGGTTTGTCAACTTTCTTTGTGGTTACCTTGAAATTTACCCTTATCTTCCTAGGTTTGAACCAGTCTATTCTTCCTTGGTATCACCTTGCCTTCCTCTCCATTAGAAGGTTCTATATCTACCCCGTTTATTTCCTCTTTTATTGTTCTGATGTTGTTGTCATTTACAGATTAACCTTTCTGGTTCCTTGCTGTAATTCTATTGGTTTTGGATAGTCCTTGAGAGTTCATTTCCTAGGTTGGTATCTGGCTGGTACGATCCTGCGTCCTCGATTCAGCCTGTGGTCTGATGTTGTTTCTTCTCAGATCAAAGGACTCCCTTTAATAATTCTTGTAAGTTTGGTTTGGTTTTTACATAGTGCCTTAATTTCTGTTTATCTGAAAATGTCTTAATTTCACCATCATATTTGAATGAGAGTTTTGCAGGATATATTGTTCTTGGCTGGCAACTTTTTTCTTTCAAGGTTTTATATATGTCATCCCATTGCCTTCTTGCCTGCATGGTTTCTGCTGAATAATCTGAGCTTAGTCTTATTGTTTCTCCTCTGTATGTGACTTTTTGTTTTTCTTGAGCGGCTCTCAGTATTCTTTGTTTTTCTTTGGTTTTAGCAAGTGTGATTATGATATGCCTTGGTGATTTTCTTTTGGGGTCTATCCTATATGGGATTCGTTGCTCTTCTTGGATGGTCAGCTTTTCATCTTTCATGATATCAGGGAACTTTTCTGTCAGCAGTTCTTCAATGATCCTCTCTGTGTGTTCTGTTTTCTCCCCATTTGGAACTCCAATCATTTGAAAATTTTTGCTTTTGATTGTATCCCACATAATTCTCAGGGTTTTTTCATTTTAGTTCATTCTTTTTTCTGACTTTTCTTCAGCGTTGTATCCAAGTGTTTGTCTTCAATTTTGCTGATCCTGTCTTTCATCATTTCAAACCCGCTTCTCAGCCCTTCTATGACACTGTCCATTTTCTGAAATACTGTTGTTTATCTTTTGGATTTCTAATTGTTGTTTCTGTATGATTTCTAGCTGTGAATTTTGGCATTTTGTTCCCGTATTATTTTCCTGAATTCTTCCATTTTTTTGTCTGTATTTTCCATGAATTTTTCTGTCTTGTCCATGAACTTGTCTATTTTTTCTTCATTTTTGTCTGCTTTTTGCTTCAACTCTTGGATAGCTCTGAATATTAGAGATTTGAATTCCCTATCAGGTAGTTCTAGTGCCTTTTCTTCTACTGGAAAGTCATCTGGTGTTTTATTTTGGATGCCTACTGGAACTATCCTGCCCTCTTTTTGTGTATGTTTTGATATTGTCTGCTGTCTTTGCAACATTCAGTAGTTATTTTCCTCGTTTATTGACTGTAGATTCGTTTTGTCCTGGTTTTTTGTTTTACTATGTCTGAGCCAGAGGGCTGTACTTTCTTTGTTGTTTGCTCATCTGTTGGCACGATACTTTTCACCTCCTTCTCCAATGGACAGGGTCAGTCGCTCAGGTATGGTACAGCAGGGCAGGTCCAGCCAAAGGGGAGTCGTTGGGATGGGTTGTTTGTGGCATGTACTAGGGATGACAGGGCGGGCTGGGAATCAGTGCAGGGCAGGTCCTGGTAGACCGTGCCTGTGCTGCTTGGAGGTGTGGTGTTCAGTGCATGGTGCAGGTAGGCAGGAAGGAGGGGGGAGATTGTGACATGTGGAGATAAGATGGGTATGGAAAAGAGGAGAGAGGAACAGGAATGAAAAACATACAAACTTTCAAAGAAAAAAGAGTGGTAAGGGGGCTTGCTGTTGGAATGGAGAGATGAGAGACTGAGAAATGGAGAAAAACAAAAACACGTAAAAAAAAACATGAATAAATAAAAATGAGAAAGAAAAAAAAAGCCCCTGGGGATCCCCCTGGTGTGGCTGTAAGGACTGAGGAAGTTTCTCCCAGGCTCTGAGGTACAGCCTGGCTAGAAGGGGTAGAGGTGTCATACAGTGCCAGTATTCAGGAGACAGGAAGAGAAGGTAAGCAAAGAGAGATAAGAAACTGAGAAATGAAGAAAGACAAAAATGGAAAAAGAGAAAGAAGAAGAAAAAAAGAAAAATAAATGCTCTCAGGAATCCCACTGTGTGTCTGCGCAGAGTAAGGGAGTAGCTCCCAAGCCACGCAGTACTGCCCGGCTAGAAGGGGCTTCCAAGCCAAGAAAAGAAAAAGAAAACAAACAAATCAAAACAGAACAAATCACAACAACAACAACAACAAAAAAGCCCTGGGGATCCTACCAACATGGTGGCACGGGCTGGGAAGCAGTTTCACAGTCGAGCTGTGTTTTGCAGCAAAGACGGCAGATGGAGCCAGGTATTTGAGAGAAAGGAGGGGGGAGGTGGTGAGAGGTAAGGAAGAAATCAAAAGAAGTGGAAAAAAGCAACACCAGCAGCCAACAAATGGCACTCAGGGAGCCGGCCAGTGAAGGTAGGTGGAATCCAAGCAGCCAGTGCTTCCCAGCCAAGAGACCATGGCTGCAGGAAGCAGAGGAGGCTGAGTGGGGGTGAAGAAGGTTGGAGGGTGGGAAAGCATATATCGCTGGTTACCAGTTGTTCTGTCTCCTGCTGGAAGCTTCGTGAAGCTAATTCCTTGTACCCCATATGCTGATCTCTGAAAGGAGTTCAAGATGGTGGATCCGTGCTGTGTTAGCTGATAGGGGACCTCTGCATGTATCTCTCCTCACTCTCTGTTCTCAGTCAGTTTCTTATTCCATTCAGTGCTTGACTGAGTTCTTTATCTCTTCATTTGATGCTTAGGGTTTCGGGAATGACGTTTGTCTCTGTCTCACTTAATTTTTCAGATCTTTGCTATGGAGGGACGGCGTGGTGCTTCTGTCTATAGCACCATGTTGCCCAGAAGTCCTTGCACCAGGCGTTCTTGAATGGCTTTGGAGTAAGGCCCCAAATTCAGTTTTTCCTGATCAAGTCACAGACATGAGAGCTTTCTCCTGGGCATCAGGGAATTCCAAAAACACCTTGATGTTGTCCCCCAGTGGAGATGAGATTGATCATGGGAGGTACAGGCATCTCTGAGCCACTACTCTCAGAAACTGGCCTCCGTGGGAGAATCCCATAGCATTGTAGCCTTGCTGCAGTTTAGGATCCATGGAAAGAGTCTGACACACTGTCAATAGTTGGGAATTGACATTTAAGAAGCAGCTGTTCTCCACATCCTCTATCAGTGTCTTCCCAGTCTCCAAAGACAAGATATAAATTCCAGGTATTTTCTTTTCAACCATTTTTTTTTTTAACAACATCCATGCTTAAGGGTTTACAACAGCTGTCTCCCATCCCATGCCAGATCACCAGTGTCAGTGGGTCGAGATGCTGCAGAGCCCAGGCAGCACAGGACTTGGGCAGGAGAACGACAGCTCAGCACCATTAGTTTTTAACAGGGCGGTGGCCAACAGCACTATTCTCTGGGTGCCACCCTATCAACCAGGCATAATGTGTGCATGGCAGTGTACAGAGGGAGTTATTTGAAACCTTAGGCCCAGCTGATACATATATATATATATATAAGTTTAATAGCGATTTAGAAAATGTGGTACTTATGAAATTATATGGTGGGCCCTTGGTGAAATTAATACGAAGTAGACCAAATATCTACCTGCCTAATTTAGCATCACCTCATCCCTATCCAGGATCTCATTTTTGTTCAGTTTGCTGGCACGTAGCGCCTCTTGGACACAGTGTGAATAGGTAGTAGAGAATCTCTATTCTGGGATGTTCCTGTAAGGGTCTAAAAACTGAGACCCAGAGAGGCAAAGTGACTTTCCCAAGGCCCACAGCCCCAAAGTCACTGCTGACCTATGGGGGTAGTAGAGATATTTAAAGGGGAAAGCCTTGGATATCGTCAGCACACACACCTGCCATTTAAGGTGCTGGATGGCATGCAGAGGGCCCATCTGTTGGGGCAGGACTGCAACCTGCTGCTCCCACCGTCTCCCCATAGTATGCCATGCTATGCCACCAGGATCCTGCCTAGGATCAGATAGCAGAGAACAGCTACAAGCTCTGGCACGGGTCACTCACACACAACACACGGCCTTAAAGCTGTGGGGCAGGGAAAGCTCAGACGTCGGAAGAGTCTTCTCCATGACTCCTCCCCTTTCTGGGGCTCAAAGACAAGGGTCAAAGGTCCTCTGGGTCATGCTTAGGGTGGCCTGGTGTCTCGGTTATCTCTTCTTCCTCCTTTTCATGCTCCTCCTCCCCTTCATGCTCCTCCTCCCCTTCTGTTTTCTCTTGTCCATCTGTGATCTTCTCCTTTCCAGTCCAAGCTTCCTCTAGACACGCTAGATTGGGTGAGAAAAGACAGTTTAGATATTGGTCCTGGAGGTAGGGGAGGTTGTGACCTGGCAGGAATGGAGCCCAACCTACACACTTACCAGTTTCTGCAACTGGAAGCACATGCCCTTTACAGAGAAAATGCTGTAGGGGCTGCTCCTGGTGGTGGAAGTACCAGTCTCCCACAACATCTTCAAACTCCTCCAGCATCGTTTCACACTAATCAGGAGGAAGGGCCAGAAGGGTGTCTGCTCTGCTGGGCTTTGGAAACCCTCCTCTCTGCTCTCCACTCCCTGTTTTCCCTATCCCACCTGACTGACCTTGGAGAGGCAGGCAGCCTGGGCTTTAAGCTTGGCTTACTAGATGTGTGATCCTCATTCATTCAAAAAACATTTACTAGCACCTACTTTGTGCCAGGAAGTTTATTAAACTTCTCTGAGTCTCAGCTCCATGCCTGTAAAATGGGAAATGGTAATAGTACCTGCTACAACAGGTTGTTGCGAGGGTAAAATGACGCTGCAGCTGTAAAGTATGGAGTCCTGAATCTGGCACATAGCAGGTGCTCAATAAGCAGTTGAAAACCCAAACCCATTGCCATCGAGTCAATTCCGACTCATAGTAACCCTATAGGACACAGTAGAACTGCCCCATAGGGTTTCCAAGGAGCAGCTGGTGGATTCGAACTGCCGACCTTTTGGTTAGCAGCCGAGCTCTAATCAGAGCTCCAACAATAAGCAGTAGTGGTTATTTATTAGCCTCTGTTATCACTTCTTGATATGCACCCAAGCCTACTTCAGTTGATGGCCATCTTCATTTTACCACTTCTACCCCCTTCTCCCTGCTCAGAGGTGGATGTCCCCTACAGTTAAATTCTAGGACCAAGTTCTCCTCTCAGTCACTTCTTGATATGCACCCAAGCTTACTTCAATTGATGGCCATCTTCATTTTACCACTTCTACCCCCTTCTCCCTGCCCAGAGGTGGATGTCCCCTACAGTTAAATTCTAGGACCCAGTTCTCCTCTCAGTCACTTCTTGATATGCACCCAAGCCTACTTTAATTGATGGCCATCTTCATTTTACCACTTCTACCCCCTTCTCCCTGCCCAGAGGTAGATGTCCCCTACAGTTAAATTCTAGGACCCAGTTCTCCTCTCAGGTCCCCTTTTCACACCCCTGGGAAGTGCAGTATCCTATCTTACCTGCTTCTTGAGGAACGTGACCTCCACACTGGGCTCGTCCCACAGCTCCAAGGGTATCCCCAGATCCACCTTCACCCCCTTCTGAACCAGGCCTCTCAGCACTGCCATGGTCTGACTCTGGCCCTGAGAGATGGGGAATTTAGGATCAGAGGCGGAACAAGGTGGGGTTAGGTGGGCGCAGAGGGAGGCATTTGCCACCAGGTACAAGTCTAAGGGGGCGTCAGACGAGGCGAGGAATGACATTCCAAGCTGCCACAAATATGAAAGGCATCTACCTGAGGCAGCCAGACAAGAGGGGATAAGCTGTTTCTGCTGACACGTCGCCACTATCAACGGCTATTCATCTTGAAATTGGGGTGGGGGTACAATTGAAGAGATTGCCCCTGGGTGCTTGAATTTGGTGGAGGGCACACAACTTAGAGACTGCCCCTGGGTGCTGGTTACCCTCACTATGCTACTGTTTGGGATCAGCCCAGCCCATTGCCTACCTCTTCCTTCCTCTTTCCCACCATATCCGCTTTGTCAACTACAGGAGACTCGGGTGAATTCCAGGTGAGAGGAGGGAGTCTGATGATCGGAAGGGGACATTGGAGATGGGGTGTGATGGGCTGACATCTCTTGTGGACCTCAGGGGATGTAAGACATTGTCTCTGAGAGGCGGGATCCCCCACCATGGCTGCCCTGGGGAAGGGTCTGACCTTCGCGTATCTCAGTGAACCCTTGCGTTCAGCATGAACACTATAATCCAGGATCCGCTCACATAAATTCTCCAAGGCCTCTTCCAGTCTTGTCTCCCTATGGGAATAGGGGAAATAAAGACTCCCTGGATGCTGTAGGAGTTCCCAGGGCTTTCACAGGGGTTAGAAGGTGAAGGGACACCAAGGAGGACTCACGAAACGCTGTAAGGGATGTGTTTCTTCCTCTTGCCTGTGTCCAGCACCTGCCCCAGCTCCAGCACTTCTCGAGATCGGCCAGTGTGGCTCAGCTTCTCCTGTAGCTCCTGGCTCAGCAGCTTACAGACTTATGGAATAAAGACGTCCAAGGAGATATGAAAGAAAAGCAAATATACCAGCACCTCATTCTGTAGATGACCAAAGGCAACATAGCATGATGGTTATAAGTACAAGCTCTGGAGCGAGTCTGACTGTGCTGGAATCTTAGCCTAGCCACTTAGTAGCTGTGTAACAATCTTGCTGTGCCTTGGGTTCTTCATCTCTAAAATGAAGCTAATAAAAATACCTCCCTCAAAGGAATGTGGTGAGGATGAAATAAGTCAGTGTACGTAAGGCCCCTAGAATAATGTCTGCACATAGTGAGCACTGTATATGTGTTTGCTGTTATTCTGCTGTTATTTATTGAGCTCCTTCTGTATGCACGCTAATGATATAGAGAGCAATAAAACCCACGATCCCTATCCATGGGACATGAGACACTGCCAGTGTAGCCAGACAGATGATGACAATCTGATGTGATGGACTCTATACTAGGGATTCAGACCAAGAGACTTAACTTCATAAGGACACACAAAATTCATTCAACAGGAATTTCCTGAAGAGCAAACATTGCGCCTCCTCTACCACAGTCTTTCTAGCACCTAACAGGTGACCTGGTACGTGGTGGGTCTCAAAAAAGGGAATGGCCAATATGGAAGTGACAGGCAAATACTAGAGCAAGTAAAAAAGTGCTAAAATGTACCAGGCACTATGCTAGGACCTAGGAATACACAGACATACCTCAAGGAGCACAATACAGTGGGAGGTGACAGATGAGGAAAAAGGCTTCCAGAGGAGGTGACATTTAAACTGGGTCTTGAAGAATAGGTAGGTGCTTACCAGATATAGAAGGGAGAGGGTCACTCCAGGCAAAGGAAAGAACAATGTGCAAAGGCACAGAGGTGCAAGAAGATAAGGCACACTGGGTGATGGGTGACCAGTGAGAAGTTCAGTGTGGCTGAAGTATGGGCCCTTTTGGGATTGGGGGTGGGTGGGAAAATGGAAGCATAAGAAAGTTTGGGGCCATACAGCAAAGACACTTAGATACTATGCCAAAAATGTTGGCTGTATTCGGATCACAGTAAGAGCCACGCAGGGGTGTTAAAACAAGGACAAGGGGATGGACGCGATTAGGTCTGTGTTTAGAAAGAATGATGGAGGTTGGGGGGTGGAGAGAAGAGTGGGGACACAGAAGTGAAGGGAGAAGAGAGCTTAGGATCAAGGTCTGAGAAACACTGATACTGAAATGCAGTAAGGGATGAGGTGAAGAGAAAAAAGATCAGGGAAGAAATTCAAGTCAGGAAGGCAACAAACTAGGGAAACCAGGGCACTCGATTACCCAGCTCTGAAGTGCCCTCTCCCAAGTTGGCCCCACGCTAATGCAGCCACAGAAGATGCTGCTTGCCATAAAATCCATACAGTGCACACCCTCTGCAAAGCCTCGCAAGATGCGGAAACTCTCAGTAGTGTGACTTCCTCTTTATGAGCTTATGAGCGTCAAGGGTGGGGTTGCTCACTCCCAAACTCCCTCAGGGATGCACACGTCCTGTAATTTGAGAGCGTCTCTGCCCAGGCGGGACAGAGGATGTCCGCAAAGTATGAGCCTCACACGTCACTCCTCCAAGCCCTTCAGATTTAGGTCCAGTGACGAGGGGAACACACACACACGCGCGCGCGCGCGCGCACACACACACACACACACACACACACACCCCGAAGATGCTCAGTACAATAGGCGGTCCTGGGCATTGTCCCTGAAATACAATTCCGACAAACCATGCGAGCCCAAGCTTGTAAGATAAAGTGGGCTCCCTCTGGATGTCTCATGGGAATTGTAGTGCCATAGTCTTAGGGTCGCACTATGCCATTCCCTTCCTTGATCTCTTTCGAAATCTGCCAAGTTCACCGAACCGCCTTCGGGCGTGCAAGAAGGTCGAGTGACCAATCCATCATGGTCCATTTGGTGGTGTCAGTCCTTGTTTTAATACCTCTGCAGGCCTCTTACCGTGATCAGAATACAGCCAACGTTTTTGGCAATAGCATACAAGTATCTTTACTGTATGGCGCCAACGTTTCTTACATGTCCATCCTCCCACCCTCATCCCAAAAGTGCTCCCAGCAGAGGGAAGTGGGGCAAGGGAATACAGATAGATGCTACTCCCTTTAGGTACCTTCGCATTTGCTGGGCAAGCGTTCTGAGTCATCGTCCTGCTCCTTCGGCGTTCCAGACCAAGCCCCGAACACGGCCAAAATGAAAAACAACTTCCCCAAACGCACAGGTCCCATGACAAAACGCGGTCCACAAACAACCACTCTCTTACTTTCAAACCAACTTCGACAAGGCAGCGGGCCCTTTAAATTCAGAGGCAGTGGGCGGACGCTAGAAATCGAGCCAAGCAGCGCAAGCGCGTGCGCAGTGCCAACCCGAAAGGAGGCGGGCCCTCATTGATTTCTGGGCTTCTCCGCCCAGTTTTGGTGGCGCCTTCTGAAGGTCCTGGCCGACGGGTAGTGAAGGAATAAATCAGAGTAATTGGGAAAGCAGAGCGTGCTCCTTACACATATATTTAGAAACAGTGTTTTTATATCATCTCAGGCGTCAGCCTAGGGACTTGTTCCAGCTCTGAAGAGGGGTCGTATATTGCTCTCGTCTGCCGGGACCTGCTCCCGAGAGGGGGCGGGTCCAACATGGCGCCCAGCGCCGGGTGAGCGGCGCTTTGGCGGTGGTGAGAGACTTTTCATGCTTGGCCGCTCGGCTAGCGGGGGCGGGTCTGAGTAATTCCAGGGTCAAGACCCCCAGAAGGTCCCCTTTGGGGACCCGGAAGAGGACGGTTGGTTGTGTGTCTCTGCGCGTGGGGACTCCCGTGTGTGTGTTTGCATTGAAGGGATGTTGGGGGAGATGGGGTGGGCTCTCTGAGCCTTTGCTCGCACTGTACCCATTGGCTGGGGGCCTTTCCCCCCGCTTCTCTACTGGGACAACTCCTACACAGCCTGGAAGACCTAGCTCAAGCCAGCCCTCTGGGAAGTCTTTCCGGTGCCTCCACTGATCTGAGGGGCTTCCGAGGCTGTAGCGAGTTTTATGAGCCTTTATTGCACGCCTTATTATATACCGGGTCCAATGCGGGGGTAGCAGGAAGACAGATAAGCAGATACGTAAACAGTCAACCTCCAGAGGGAGACGTTCTGGAAAGGACTAGGTACTGGGGACAACGGCGAGGTAGTGATCAGTTCTGTTGGGGAGTGGGGCGGCTTCGCTGAGGGGAGGTGAGTACCGCTGGATGTTTGAGGGATTAGTAGGAGTTTGCCAGAGAGCTAGGGCAGGACCACTTCTTGTATACCCGGCGCCAGGCACAGAGTATGTGTTGAATAAATGTGTTCCCTATAGTAAGATTTATAAAAATGGAGGAGACCTGTGATGGTTTGAGAAGAGCCAAATTCTCCTGCGGCTTGCACCTTCCCATCTCTCCAGTCCTCCTGCACGCTCCCTGCCCCCCAAGTCGGTCCTGAGCCCTATTGACGTTTATCTTCCTAATGTACAGCTCCAAGCATACTGCTTTACTTTTGACCACAGAGTAGATTCCCACCTTGGGCCTGTATCTTATTCATCTCGGAATAGTGATGCCGAGTATTTATTGAACATCTAGATGGTATACACAAACATGTCTAAGCCCTACAATTCATTCAAGTATTTACTGAGTGTCTACGTCGCCTCAGGCACTGTTCTGTATTCTTGGAATACATCAGTGAACATAACAGACAAATATCCCTGTCCTCATGGAGCTCCCACGGTGGTGGTAAACTATAAGAAATTATACAATATATTAGAAGATGTTAAATGCTATGGGGAAAACAAAGTAGAGCGAATGGGGGTGGGGTGGAATATTAAATAGTGGTCAGAGTAGGCAGCCAAGCAGACATCTTGGGAAGAGCATTCCAGGCAGAAGGAACTAAGCAAAGGCTATAAAGCGGAAGTATGCCTGGCAGGTTCAAAGAACAGCAAAGAGGACAGTGTGGTTGGAAGGGAAGGAGGTCAGAGATATAATGAGGATGGGGCAAACCGTGAAGGGCCTTGTAAGCCATTATAAGGATTTTGGAGTTTAAGGCAAATGGGGAGCTATTACAGGGATTTGAGCAGTGTAATGACATAATGGGGTTTACGTTTGACAGAATCACATTGGCTGTTAGGAATAGATACAGGCAAGCAAGGGTAGAAGCAGGGAGACCTTGTTAGGAAGCTATTGAAGTTATCCAGGGAAGAGATGATGGTGACCTGGGCCAAGATGGTGGGAGTGGAGGAATCAGATTAGATTATCTGGTGGATCTGATGTGAGGGTTCAGACAACGATTGAGTGCCTGGATGGATGGCATTGCTATAAGTGAAGATGAGGAAAGCTAAAGCTGGTGCAGGTGGGTAGGGGGAGATCAGGAGTTCAGTTTTAGTGGAGGTTTTGAGGAGGCAGTTGGATATACAAGTCTGGAATTAGGGAACAAGGTCTGGCTGGGGATATAAATTTGGCCATAGGAGTGGTTGAGATCACCAGAGAAGTAAATGTAGCTGGAGAGGAAGACCAAGGACTGAGCTCAGAACACTCCAACATTAAGCAGATAGAAGAGGAAGAATCAGTAAAGGACACATCGAGGGAGTCGCCAGTGAGGTAGGAGGAAAATCTAGTGCAAGTGGTCTGGCAGTCAATTGAAGGAAGTGTTCTCAGAAGAAGGGAGTGGTCAACTATTTATGTACTGCTGAGAGGTCAAATAAGGTGAGGACCACCAAGAGACCTTGGATTTAGCAATGTGGAGTCAGTGGTGACCTTGACAAGAGTAATTTCTGGGGCATAGTGGGGGCAAAAGCCTGATTGGAGTGGGTTTAAGAGAAAAAGGAGAGGAAGGGAATTAGAAACGGGGAGTTAAGTCAACTCTTTCAAGGAGTTTTGATGCAAGGAGGAGCAAAAAAAAAAAAAGTATAGCTGGCAGAATCAAGAAAAGTTTTTTGTTTTAAGATGAACAAATTAACAACATTTTGTAGGCTGATGGGAATGATCCAGTAGATTGAGAAATTAATGATGATGCAGAGAGATGGGAGAAATGCTAAAACAGTATTTGAGTTGGCAAGGGGCATGAACAGTTCCTCAGTACTGGGTGGGAAGGCAGAGTATGTGGATGCAGGTGCTGGTAGGTAGGGAGTCTGGAGGTTCTCTTCTGATGGCTGAAAGCTAGATTGGAGAGAAAGGTGCTGGGGGTTTGAGGAGATCAGGAAAGGTATCAGTAGGACAGTGGGAGAGTGAGTGCCCTGGAGAAGTATAATGTGATTGTCTGGCAGCAATAAGGACCCATTGGAAGTTCATGGTCATGAATTTAAAGTGAGAACTAACCAGCAAGGCTGTGTGTTTTTCTCATCATGTTCAATTGTATGGCTATGTAGGCTCACAGTGGGAGAGTTGTATTTAACCAGTATTGTATTTTTGTTAAGCACGAAGGATGGTGTAAGAAGGGGTGAGGGGGATAAGATGTATGCCTGACAATATAACAACCTTAGGAAAAAAAGGCATTATCAATATTTTGCAGATAAGAAAACCAAAGCTGAGAGGATTTAAGTAATTTGCTTAAGCAACACAGCCAGATAGTAGCAGAGCTGGGATTTAAATTTAGGTCCGTATTCATCTACTGTACCTCACTTGTGAGGAGCCCTAGTGGCGCAGTGGTTAAGCACTCAGCTGCTGACTGAAAGGCCAGCAGTTCGAATTCACCAGCTACCTTACAGGAGAAAGATGTGGCAGTCTGCTTCCGTGAAGATTATAGCCTTGGAAACCCCATGGGGCTATTCTGCTCTGTCCTGTAGGGTCATTATGAGTCAGAATCGACTCAACAACAATAGGTTTTTTGGTTTTTTTTGATACCTCACTTGTATAGTGCCTGCCTTAGAATTAGAGCTCAATAAACTATGTTGAATTGGATTGGATTCCTACCCTTTTCTGTTGCAACTCAGTCCTGACTCACATGGGGGTGGACAGAAGACAGCCCTGAATTCCTTCCCTCCCTGCACCTCCTTTGTCTTCCCTTTGTTGTGGCCTCTCCTGATGATCGTTCCTCTTCTTTGTGTCTCGTGGCATTTTCTCTCTCCTGCCTATCCCATCCCCCTGCCAGGGTCTGTAGCTCTCCACCCTGGAGCATCATCCTAGGGGAGGGGAGGAGGTGCTCCAGAATGGCTGAGGAGAAGAAGCTGAAGCTCAGCAATACTGTGCTGCCCTCTGAGTCGATGAAGGTGGTGGCTGAATCCATGGGGATTGCTCAGATTCAGGAGGAGACCTGCCAGCTGCTGACAGACGAGGTCAGCTACCGCATCAAGGAAATTGCACAGGTAACTTAGTCCCTCTGCCCGGCCCTCTATGGAGGATGTTGCCAGTGCCCGCCTTCTTCCCCAGGGTCTTGGGCTGATGTCTGTTCTCCCCCTCCCGCATCCCCAGGATGCCTTGAAGTTCATGCACATGGGGAAGCGGCAGAAGCTCACCACCAGTGACATTGACTATGCACTGAAACTAAAGAATGTTGAGGTGATTGGGATATACAGGGAGGGGGCAGGAGGACTAAGGTGGGAGCAGGGTTGTGAGACTCCATTCTCCCAGACACTGCATTTGCTTCCACAGGCTTCTTTCTCATCCCACTGTCTGTCTTTCTCCTGATACAGCCACTCTATGGCTTCCACGCTCAGGAGTTCATCCCTTTCCGTTTCGCCTCTGGTGGAGGCCGGGAGCTTTACTTCTATGAGGAGAAGGAGGTTGATCTGAGTGACATCATCAATACTCCTCTGCCCCGGGTGCCTCTGGACGTCTGCCTCAAAGGTTGGGGGAGGGGAGGGGAGGGGAGGGCAGGTGGCAGGGAGGAGGGAAAGGAGGAGCAATGCATATGGGTGTGAGGAAACTCACAAGTGAAAACCTCATTGTGAGATCCCTGGTGAGTTGTACAAAAGGGGAACAGGAACTAAAATACATTCTTTAGTGTGGAGTGGCTCCCTAGTGTCCATCTAAAAGCAATTCAACTTTAAACCGTCCTTCCTTGCAGCTCATTGGTTGAGCATTGAAGGCTGCCAGCCAGCTATACCAGAGAATCCACCCCCAGGTAACCTCTGTGCCCAGAATCCATTCCTCTCTATCTCACTTCCCTTTCTCCTTCCACACTCGTCAGTCCTGCTATGATTGCTTTCCCACCAGCTCCCAAAGAGCAGCAGAAGGCTGAGGCCACAGAACCGCTGAAGTCAGCAAAACCAGGCCAGGAGGAAGACGGGCCCTTGAAAGGCAAAGGTCAAGGGGCTGCTCCAGCTGATGGCAAAGGTCAGTAATGCTAGGCCAAACCTCTCCTGACCCTTGCC